TAGACACTCTAGAACATAATAACTGTAAAGTTAAAAAAAAAAAAACATAATAACTGTAATTTACTATTTAGTTCACGTTAAAGAAAGTATTTGGATCGATGATTGTTGTAAAACAAATATAGACCCACTGAGTAAATTTCATTGTGTTTGCTACCTTATAGGAAATATTGGACGAGAATCATACAAATTAGTAGTCACCATCACTCATTGCTCGACCGATTTATAGTATATGTTTTATTGCAATTACTAATTCCATTTCTAGAAGCATGATTAGGTCAGAAGTTATATCAACATGACAAATAAAAATTTAAAACTGTTCTGTCTACTATTCTATTGATTCTCATTGGGCCACGAAGCTCTCTTATTCCCTGGAAAGATATTTAATTCTTGTAAGGTTGTGTTTTTTTTTTTTTTGGGTCAAGATTCTTGTAAGGTTGTTTAAAATTGTTATTAGAGTATTAATAATAGTACTTGATTAATGTATATGTAGGTGGTCACTAATCGCGAGTCATCTACCAGGGAGAACAGACAACGAAATAAAAAATTATTGGAACTCTCATCTAAGCCGTAAACTCCACAACTTCATCAGAAAGCCGTCGATCTCTCACGACGTTACCGCCGTAATCATGAACGCTCCTCCTCCTTCGCCGCGGCCAACGACAAAACGTAGACCAGGGAGAACCAGCAGATCCGCTATGAAACCCAAAACCCTAAACCCAAAAATTCGAAAAACAAAGAAAACGTCTGCACCGCCGGAGCCAAACGTCGACGTAGCGGTTAAAGCGGTGGCGGAAGAAGAAACATTAATGATGGAGTTAAGTGGTGGAGCCGAGGCTGAGCTAAGGCCATGTGACTACTACTACGGAGATTGTTACGATAATAATAATAATCTCGTGAGTATTAATGGCGATAATGGAGTTTTATCCTTTGATGATGACATCATTGATCTTTTGTTGGACGAGTCAGAACCAGGCCACGTGTTCACATCGTGTGGTGGTGAAGTCGATATAAGAGACTCTGAAGGAACAAGAGGGACGTCGAACCAAGAGAATTTAGACTGTCTTCAATCATATCCGTCGGTGGAATCGTTTCTTAACTTGGACAATCAAGTCAACGATGGAGATGAGTTTATTGATTGGGATTGTGTATGTGAACAAGGTAATGATGGTAACCTTTGGAACGAGAAAGAGGGTCATGACTCAATGGTGTCGTGGCTTTTGGACGGTGATGATGAGACCACGATAGGGAAAAGTAATTGCGACAAGTTTGGAGAATCGTTAGATCTCGACGAAGATAATGCATTGGTCGCTTGGCTTTTGTCTTGAAGATATTAATATGTTAGTCTTTTTTTTTTGCAGTTAGAGTTTGAATTCAATCGACCTGGAATCGTATCATCGACTTATATGTGTAGTATGGTCTAGGATTTAAATTATAATTAAGTATATTGCAATAAAACTTGGGGGATTTTGTAAGGTTAAAATAGCTTGTCATCGTTGTTTTAGAGGGGGAAAAAACTACAACTGGTTATGTTTTTCCTTCTGAATTACATAGCCTTCCTCGTGTAATTTAATAAAGAGGTACAAAAATGTAGGTGTACATTTACTGGGAGTATATATTTCAACCGACTTTAAATACGGAAATTTAGAAAAGAAAAATTATAAAGCTTGTATCCTAAGCATAATATGATCAAGCTGTCCTCTATGGAAACAATTTCAAATATGTAATAGAGTATAATCACATGTGCGTATTTAATTCCTGAAAATAATTATAAGAAAATGTATATAATTGTTTTTTATTGAAAACACAAATTTCGTTTTTTCTTACGAT